GTCTGTGGTTCCAAACCTGCTCTCTCCTGTATATGTGTCTGTGGTTCCAAACCTGCTCTCTCCTGTATATGTGTCTGTGGTTCCAAAACTGCTTTCTCCTGTATACTGTATGTGTCTGTGGTCTCATGGAGAGCAACATGGTTCAGGAGAAAAGACAATTTCCCCAAGGGGATGAATAAAGTGTATATATATATATATATATATATATATATATATATATATATATATATATATATATACACACTATTATAGGTAAGCACCTTTGATACCTGAAATGCAGGAACTTCTTATATGTGCTATAAAGATCCCTGTCTAGTTGTTTTAATTTTAACTGTGACGTTTAAGGGATTCTTTAACCAAATGCTTCTTGCTTGTCCAATTATAAACCCTGAACCTGTCCTGCAAAGGAACGCCACATTCTCTTTTAAGCTGTTCATTATTAAACCTTCCCACATCATACCTGGTCTACTCCAAAACATGAAAAGAACCCCCCCAATTTACTGCCAGGTTTGAGACCGGATATGTGGAGAACTGCAGTATGATGGTAAAATTCACCTAAGGGAAAAATATAAATTGATTTTTGAGGTTATATTGCACATTCCTGCATGTATATGAATCTAAATAAGATGAAATATGAGACTCCGATTCTGGGGGGGGGGGTTTCTATCTCATAGGCTTTTGATCTTTGCTCAGTTTAGGTGTAATGAAGGTGGGTGCTACATATTAAACCCGCATGTTGCTATGAATCATGAACAATGGTCTGTCTTTTGCTCTTTGTTTCCTGTTTTCCATACTCTTCCTAACTCTCCGATGTCATTTACAAACCCCTATAAAGGCTAAGATAATGGCTATTAACCTACCAAGGGCTGTGATATTAATGTTCTTTCTCCTTTTCATGCTCTCCCACCCCGTCTCTCTCTTGTTCCACTCCCTTCCTCCTATCCTGTCCCTCTTTCCCTGCTTGGTCCTGACCACCCACCCGCCCGCCTGCCTGTATCCACCACAGAAGGGCGGCTCTGCTTACAACTGCGGGCAGCTGCAAGTGGGTCAGGTAATCCTGGAGGTGAACGGCGTGTCCCTGAGGGGGCTGGAGCACCAGGAGGCTGCGCGGCTCATCGCCGAGGCCTTCAAGACCAAAGAGAGGGACCACATCGAGTTCCTGGTCACTGACTTCAATGTGGCCCTGTAGGGGGAGCCAGAGAGACATTAAGCTCTTCACTGTTGGGAGAAGGGCTACAGCAAGACATCTGAAAGCCAAGTGCTCTATATAACGATTAATGTAAGCCTGAAATATACATTAGAACCATTCCTCTCCTCATCTACTTTTCCTCCTTGGTATCATGCGTGTAAGACCGACATTTGCATATTTTGCAAAAGGTCACTGGAAAAGAGTGTAATTATTCTTTCATTATTTTCCTGCAGTGTTAGCAATGGGACAGAACAGATTTTTTGCACTGGTGTGGCTGAAAGCAAAGATGATGCCAAATGTGTCTCAGATAGCCTGCTTTAGCTCCACAGTGGGGACAGGGGACAGATGGGTGTCCGTAATCCAGTGGGGACAGGGGACAGATGGGTGTCCGTAATCCAGTGGGGACAGGGGACAGATGGGTGTCCGTAATCCAGTGAGCTCCTTTACTCGTTCACAGGCTGGTTTCCGAGCCCAGCTGTGGCACTGTAACTCGTCAGCATCTGGCAGCTTTCTCTCAACACTCATTGGCTGGAAGTGACTTCAACTCCACTGGAGCAGAGGTCACCGCTTCTTAAAGGTTACAGTGATGTCTTACTGTAATTCACTTAGCATCTACATTCAGACATCAGGCAGTGAGGCCTACTGCAGTGTCTGACTCATGCACCTGTGCTGCTTTTATAGTCAAATGACTGTTAAGTGACCGAACAACACAAAGTTTTTTTTTGTGGAGGATTTTGCAAAACATGTTCGCATACAATTCAGTCTGCACAAATAGATAAAGAGGAATAATTAGAGAGACAGGAATATCATTCTTAATTAAATCTATTCTGTTATCTTTTTAAAAGGATCGTTTAAAGCAGACCTTTTCAACTTTCTTCCCAACAGACACATTTCCATTCTACCTAATCACTTAAGCACTCAGCTGAACTAATTATTTCTCAGATTGAATGAGTTTTGCTGTCTCCTCCATTTAACTCTTTAAAGGGCACTTGAAAGCCTGACAGGAACAGAGCTGAGATTTCCTGCTTTTAAGTAAATGCATTGCTGAGTGTAGTAGAAATGTTTAAAACGATTCCAACCCGATTACCTTCACACTACCTGAATTCGTTCTGTGCAAACTTTCATTTGGAAGAATCGTCCGATTATACTGATCTGCAGTAATTATGTGTGTTATAGGAAATTAAAAAGCTGTGAAGACCTGGGTGTAATTTTTTATTTTTTTTTGAGATTGTGCAAAAAGAAGAAGAAAAATCATGGACATGGAGCAGGAACAGAAAGTATGAGGTGTGAGAAGGAGAGAGCTGGAGCGCTGTGTCAGTCTGTGTTATCTGCACATGCTCCTAAATGTGTGTGTGTGCCTGTGTGTGTTTAAGTATGGTTACGTATATATTACATTGTGGGGACATTTGCTTCCCACAATGTGATAAAAACCTGTTATTTTGACGTTGCTGGGTGCATTTTTCAGTCCCCACAAGGGGATATTCAGTTTTATAAAAATCTGTGACTGCAATCAAAAAACTAAAAATGTCAAAAGTCTTTGGTTAATTATGGTTAAGGTTTGGGCTGGGCAGGGGTTAAGGTTGTCATTGTTGGAATTTCTCTTAGAAACAAATGGACGGTCCCCACAGAGATATGGATACAAACGTGTGTGTGTGTGTGCATGTTTGCGCGCGAGTGTGTGTATGTGTATGTGTGTACGTGTGTGTACACTCATTTGCATTTGCACTCCTGTCAGTTCTCGTTAGAGGACAGGGGGTTAATGGTAAAGAAAACCCCACCGTTAAATATTAAGCGCCCTCAAGTCATTTGGAGCCGTTTCCTTGGTAACAAAGACATTTATACTCCCCTGACTGCATGTTAGTCTGGACAGGGAATACTACATGCAGTACTTCTGATAAACTGTGCATTGAGTATGCTCTGTTTACTGATGACACAGACTTGAGATTAATACGGAGTATTGCCATATTTAAAAAAATAATAATTCTAACTATGTCATGTAGCCGGCTCATTTCTTGAAGATGCATGTATATTGAGATTTGTATATATTTATGAAAAATGTGTCTCAGATTATAATTGCAGTTGGGCTATACTTTTTAATTTACCAAATGCAAAGTTCCTGAGCCAAGTTTCCAGTCTGGCTGTACTTGGGATGAGCGGACGTCCACTGAATCTGCAGGCCACACAGGCCTCTGGTATTTGTTGCATAGACTGTTCTATTTCACATCTACAAAGAGGCGTTAAAATAATTGCTACAAGGTTGGTGGGACATGGTCCTAAAGCAGTTCACTGTTTTGTTGGAAGGTGGAAAATCGCGGTGGGTGTGAACGGAGTGCAGAGTCACACTGATAAAGTACATGGTGACAGTCAACTGGATGCCTTCTCTGCGGGCATGTTGTCATACGAGTGGAATTATCTGAGCTGAAATCCAGAGGGTAGCAGGGAACAGTGGCCCAGGTTGTGCCTGCAAGAGATCAGCTTCTTCCATGACTTGATCTTGGTTTGTCTTGCTTAGGTTCCACACTATATTTAGGCAGGATGGTCTTTGGATTCTGAGGTTTCTCGTATGAACATGTGAGACTTTTAGGGCTCATAATAACCAGTCTAGTCTACATTGAGTTCTGCTGCAGCCAATATTCTGCAATGGAGTAGAGGTGCTCAAGAATTTTACATTGGACAGGAGCTTTGAATCTTTTTCAGGTTTAAGTATGGCAATAACCTTTGCTCTCTGCCAAATATTTGACCTGGGCACTGATCTGTGGCCAGCAGACAGGAGCATAAACCCCCAGTCTTGATTCTGGCTTTTTCTGCTCTCTAGCCAGACCTCAGGTGCTGGGAGATGTTTTAGCGCTATAAACATTTGGTATTATTTTAATTGATTACTCAAACTTCCTTCAATGCTTCGCCCAGCAGTGCCTTTGCAAACAGGTGACTGGAGTAATGGGGAAGTGGTTTTGTGTGGGCGGCTTTTCAGCTGCCCCTAGTTGAGCACCTTCTCCTGATATTTGTAAAGTTAAACTCTGCAATGTTCTCCTCCGTCTTGCTGTATTAAGGGACTCAACAAGGCAATCTTATCTTCAGGGTATCCTGCTGCTTTGTATGCCCTTAGAAGACCTATTTTCTGAGACATGTGAGGCATGATGGTGGTCTCACTTACAGAGCAGGCAAGGGGTGGATAAGACTACAGAGATTTCTGAAAGCTATGACGATAATTTGTAGTGGATTGGTTGGAATACTCGACCTGATGGTTAATGCTGTTTGTTTCAGTCTCTGCTCTTCGCAAGTTCCAACTCTTGAGGAGGATATGTAATGTTGGCTTTGCGGTAAGTCATCTAGAACGACGCACCAGGCAAGCAAAGATGGTCCATTTATAGAGTTCACCCTATATAAACTTGGCTGACAAGTGTAAATATAAAATAGAAGTCATTTTGTACAGTTATGAACCTCAGCTTCATTCTAACCCTTGCTTTAGCTGCCACTTAGGCCTAACCGTCTCTGTCCAAGAGATGTCCATGTGTCGCCCCAGCTTGGGCGGTGAGGTGGTGATGAAGAAGGAAGGGTCAGTGGGGACCTTTGGTTTTGGCACTGCACCTTTTTCCAGAAGAGACATTCCCAAGATAGGACTGATGGGTCCCTTGACAAAGCAGACTTGCATCCCCTGAAATGTCTCAATGCGTTTTTTCTTATTTGGGTGCATTTGTACTTTGACACAAGTAAATGGAACAAGTCAGTCATTCACCATGTGACCATCTGCAGTGTAACAGGAAGACATAAGAAAACAATCTATTCTTCCATTTTGCTCATTAATCTATAAAAAATGTGGCTCAAATGAGTTCTGCAATCATTTTTTTATTAATGCTATATTTTCTATCGACGTTTTCTAATGAGATCCTTTCAGTTGACACCTGAAACATTTTTCCAAACTGTGCTACTTTTCATTCCTTGAAAAAACACAACAATAATAATCAGCAAACTATCAACACAATAAAGGCAAACATTTCTTTTTAAAAGAGATCTTGGACAAGAGCAGTGTTTCCCGACCCAGTCCTCGGACACCCACAGATGGTCAATGTTTTTGCTCCCTGCCAGACAGTCCACATTTTTGCTCCCTATCTTAAGGCCCTGCGGACCGGGCTGGGAAACATTGGACTAGAGAATCATAAGAGTAATTATGAATTCACAAAGGAATTTGTCCACGTGTCCTTGGAAGGTTCTTGTTTGCAGTATGTGGAAATCTTGATACTGTAGCAAATGCTTGGAATACATAATCCGGGAGACGCCCTCTGATGGATTATTTATTAAGTGTGAGTGCATTTTTGCCAATGTGTCCATCTGAAATAATGCATTATGGCCTCTGTTCATCATAATATACTTTACTGCTTCTGGTTGACTTGATGTCCCCTCGCTTCATTATTGAACTGTCTGTCTGCCTGTCTCATGTACAGTTTATTAAGATGCTTTGTATATAGCCCCTGCTGCCATGCTATTTATACAGAGTCAATGCATTTAATTTTCCAATAAAGATGACTACACAAGATTAACAGAACCCAGGCTGATTTTTCTGTTTAAAAAAGGTTTGGTGACATGTTCATAGCGCAGAGAACGATTATATGGTATATGTTGCTTCTCAGGATATTTGTATGTATGGATGAATGGCTTTTTTCTGAAGTTCTGTCCATTTTAACTGATGACAGGACCTGTCCAATTGCCTTGTAGACTAACTTTTAACCCAGCAACTTGATATTTACTGCACATGGAACATCATTGGAAAGGGGGGGGGGCGCAGCCAGTAGAGCGAGTGCCATAGGCACGAATCTCTAGGCAACAAAAATTGTTGTTCATGGAAGATTAGGGGGGGCGTGCGGC